AACAGAAAAAAACTGTTTCTGTAGGAAAGGTTGGCGCTTTGAAGATTTTTCAGCATTTTATTTCCGTCTTCAAAAGGTCCTGTTGCCGTTTTTAGATGAAGTAAACTGTGCCAGAAGAATTAAATTCTGATTTGTATTTATTTCTTGCATGCTTTCCTCCCTGTTGCTAATACCGCTCTTTAACTGTTCGCTCTGTTGGATGTGTGAAGCTGTAAAACATTCTAATTCAGGTTATTGTCTGTGTTGAAAAATGTAACTGTGTAATTAAAACATGAAATGAAGTCTCATCCATCCATCCATTATCTACACCGCTTATCCTAACGAGGGTCACAGGGGGCTGGAGCAGCATTCATACACTAAAAGATGCTTAAAAACAAACATCCATACACAGTGGGTCTCAAACTATTTTCATCTATTAAAATTTTTATTGAATCTTTTGAACAATCTGGCCAGGTTCTTCGACCTGTTAAACCCTAAGAACAGCCATTCAATGATTATAAACTAATGTTTGCAGCAAACGTTTACTGAAGATCCCAAAGTTTCCAACACCATATATGCAAGACTAAATTTTGGAGGAATGTGTAAAAAATGGTCAAGATTTCTAGAATATTTCAATTTGTTGTGCAGCCATAAAATTACTGTGGTTTTTGATTGACAATTCACTCAGTTTAATAAACATCATGTAGCTTCAGTAAAGACTTAGAGCAACTCAATATTTGAAATAGGGCTACTGTCAGACAGAATGGAAGATGCATTCTTCCAACCCTAAATTTATTTGAGAAGAAAAAAAGGGGAAAAGTGGATGGGTGAATAAATGTCAAGCAATGAAAAAGCACTATTTTCCTATTTCCTCTGTTTTCAAATTGACATTAAAATTGTAGAAAACCTTGTGGTAAAAACTGGCAGTACTTTCTTACATGCTTTTAAATTGGGATATTATGTTCTTTGTATACCCTTTGTCTTTTTCATATGCACGTATTTTTCCCATGGTGTATCAACAAAAGGGTTTTGACTTTATAATGCTGGCATATAAGGTTCCTTGTTATTTTAGCATGTCACAGTAAGAAAAGAACAGACAGCTGGTAAAAGAGGTAATCAGAAACACTCTCAAATCATAATAAAATTAATGCTAAATGAATTTCATTTAGTTGCGTCTGTGTCAGGGTCTTGGTATCGTGGATACTGGTTCACAATCACATTATCCTGACTTAGTGGGACTCTAGAATAGAAATCAATAACATTATTAATGTTAATGTTACTATGACAAGTCAAAATGACTGGCACAACGGGAAGAACAGGAAAAACACCTATTACTTTGATTTGAGAGTGCTCATGCATTATGGCAAGGTGGATAACCATATGCTAAACATTTAGTGACACCAGATAAATAGCCAATTTGTTTGGCTACACATTTGTAGTTGGTTACCAAGTGAAACCTGATAAACAAAGAGTGTATAAATCAATTTAATTGATTTCAATAGTGTTAATATTCAGGTGTTCGGGTCATATTTTAATAATTATATGACCAGAACATTACTAACATCCCTTCAGGTGCCTTACTTGAATTATGCACATTTTAAAAAGCATATATTCATGTAGCATTCTTAAAGGAGCAATTGGGGGGGATGTGGCCCGACATATAGCCAGAGGAAGGGGGCGTTCAGAGCCCCTTGTGCGGAGCTTCGTGCGTCTCTTTAACAGGTGATATCTATTAGCTTACCTCATATGCCGTCAGGTGTTGCGTTTGCGGCTCATCAAACGGTTTCTTTATTTCTATTGCGGTTTCCGCAAACTGCGCTGGGTTTTGCAGGTGCCATGTTTGAGTAGCAAGTATGGCGGAAAATCATCTGGAGTACGGCTACCTGGAGGACGAGTCCATCGGGGCGCATTTCACCGAGGACCCGGTGAGTATCATTGTGTCTGTGGGGAATGAAAGGGCGCGACGCGTTTGTTAGCATCAGCAGGTCATGCAAATGAGGACGGTGGATAGATGAGCGCAAACATAAACTATATGCAGTCGTCATATCACTGATAAATGCAAACCGACATCGATGAGCCACATCCCATATACAGCCAATCGGATGCAGTGCATGTCCGCATTTCCAGGATAAAACGGAGGCGTTGAACTCCTTGTTTCTCTGAATTCTACTGTGTGGTCCAGGCACCGACGTATTTGATGGTGCCCAATTTGGTTTAGGCTATAGGTATTGCTCAGAAATGTAAGGCCAGCTCTATGTGAGCCCTTGTATTGCTGGGCAATATGCCTAGATAATAAAATAATTGTGGCTGAATAACTTGGTTCTGGTAATCTTTAGGGGCTATCGGTGCACAAATAAATGACTGGCTTATTGGCCAAGCAGGCCACTCATTTATATGGTTTAAGCTATTTGTTTATAATATTGACAACATGAATCACCTATCACAAGTGAGTTAAATTTGTCACCCATCAGCAGATCCAGGGCCAGATTACTCTCATGTTTCACCCCTGTTGAAATCTATGGTGCAGGGCTGTTTTCATTATGTCACCAGGCACCTGGACACCAAATGGTATTCTGGAGCTGAAATGACTAGCAAAATAACTAATTGTTTGGCAGAAGATTCTCAACAACTCTGCTAATTGATTAATCATCTTATGTTCTTTTAAAAGAACAGTTCTAAAACCGTTCACTGGTACCAGCTTCTCAAAATTTCTCCATAGCTCTGTAAGTCAAGTCAAATTGCATGGGTCTAGTCTAGTGTCACAAATTTGCCTCAAACGGTTTTACAGTTTGCACAGCATATAACGACCTCGACTGGGTTAAGGGAACAATTTCCCAAGCTGGGCCCCTGGGTGTATGGACCAGTCGTTCGACTTGCCTACCTGGTGATCCAGCTTTGTAGCTTTTGAATGTTTAACTTCAGTTTAGTTTACAGTTGCTTCAAGTGGGTTTTCCATCCTTGTTTCTCAGGAGCTGGCAGCCATTAAGGCCCGGGTTCAAGAGCTGGAGATGGAAGAAGAGACAGAAAGACTAAAGGAAGAGGAGAGGTATGATGCCACAGACATGCAGCTCCTGACCAGCAGCCCTCAGCCTGGTAAGACAGACCTCGGGTCCTACTCACCATGTGTCCTCTTGTTGTGCCTCACTGGTGTACAGCTAAATACTTAGCATATATCTGGTAAGCCTCAAAGTGTACTTTAGCCAGGTGTGTGGCATTTCAGCCTTCAGTCAGGTGAGGTAACTGCATCCTTCACCATCTAGTTAATACCTGGGATACTGCACAGTGGTCAACAACAGTGCCTCATCGCTGCCAGGTGAGACAAAGCCGTGAACACCAGAGAACCGGAGGGGCCCTCTGTGCTGCCTGTAGCTGTTCTCTGCCTCTTTGTGTTTCCTCATTCCCTTCACTCTCCGTCCTCCCTTTTGGTTCCCCTTCAGAGCAAAGATGCAGTCAGGAAAGCCACATTCTGAGATATGTACTGTCAAAGATGATGCAAGAAATGCTGGTGCTGTACACTTCCAATGAAATAACACCCTGTGGAGATGGCATATTATATATCGTATACAGGTTTTCATTTCTTTTACAGGACCTTTCTACAATATGACTCCTGAGGAGAGGATAGATGCAGACAACAGATCAGTCTATGTAGGAAATGTAAGACTTGAATATCTCTTTACTTCACACTGAGCATTCTTGTTTTCACACCTCTGATCTGACACACTGTTATGCAACTCCCAGGTAGACTATGGTGCTACTGCAGATGAATTGGAGATCCATTTCAATGGCTGTGGTCCTGTGAACAGAGTTACCATTCTGTGTGACAGGTTCTCTGGCCATCCCAAGGGGTGGGTTCAGTTTGTGCATACAGTTGATAGTCTGTGCTCCCTGACACTGTTTGAGCATAGTATACAACTAAAACATGTTGGCATTCAAATTTATTTTTTGTCTTTTCTCTCTTCCCCTTTCATAGCTTTGCTTACATTGAGTTCTTGGATCGGGACTCTGTGCAGAGTGCTATTGGTTTGCATGAGACTTTGTTCAGAGGAAGAGTCCTTAAGGTGAGGAGCATTACACTACTCAGTGTTGAAGGGGAAATGCTCAAACTATTTCGCTACTCAAACTGTCAATTAAATGTCACTGTACTGGTTCCACATGCAGCCTATGAATGAGTAACATTTTAGGATTGGAGATATTTACATACAAGTAAATATGTGTTGGAGTTTTGCAAGAGGGGAAAAAAAGGCAGTGGGAGGCAAGTGTATAGTCTCGTACATGACCATTTCTACATTCAAGTCTCAGCTTTGGGGAGTGAGGAGGCTGAGGAAATGCAAGACCATACTTTGCATACATTTTGTTTTGGGTCACTGATGAAATGACACTCCCCTTTATCAGAAATCAGTTGGTGACTGGATGCTCAACATGAATGATAGGAGGAAAAGATGTTTTAAGTCCCCTCTCCTCCTGTTTTCCTCACATTTTACATGGGCAGGACTAAGATGCAAGCAAGGGGGAAAACAACTGCCCTTATAAGAGACTTGTGAGGTACCACTGAGATTTTGATTGGTTGAATTCAGGTGATGCCCATATATAGCTTGCTGTTTAGCACTTCCTCATATCATGAGTCATCACTGTCTCTTCTGTTGAATTGAGAACCATCACTTGACCCTGTGTGCTTCAGATAATCCAACTCACTGGTTGAAAGGTCAGGTAATCTGCCTTTTTACTCAGTGTTAATTTTAAAGCAAACCAGTTATAGGACCAATATCTTTAATTTTCTTGGTTTTGGGTTCTTTTAGATGCAAATTTCTTTCTATGCATAAAGACACTTTGGGTTTTTGTTTGGTCACTATTAAATGGCAAACATGGTATTTTTCTATAATACACAAGCATGAGATGTACAGAGGGTGGTATGATATAGTACTTTAAAAAAGACTACAGGGTATTATTTGTGCAACTATTAGTACATAGGCCCCCATGCAATTCAAAGTGTTTTACATAGGCAAAGAAAATGCTAATACAGAATAAAAATCAATTAAAACAGACAAAAGATAATCAGAGATTCAACTAATGCAGTAATAAGTTTGCCCAAATGCAACACTGGAAACAAAACTGCAGCAGAGAAACTGATCATAGACTCTGTCCTGTGTAGTTACAAAAACACAATGTGCTGTTGTGTTTAGATGAATTCAGATTGCCCACTGACCGTATCAATGTTTGGGATGTGGTGTGGTATATGCCCATCTTTAAATCGTTTCCATTTTGGGATAATAAACTGAATAATTTGTTTAAACTATACAAACATCCTATTCAGTACAGTAATGTCCTTTGACTTGCAGGTACTGCCGAAGAGGACAAACATGCCAGGAATCAGTACCACAGACAGAGGAGGGCACCAAGGAGGCCACGCCAGAAGAAGAGGCCGAGGTTACCGTCCACCCAGACACCATAACAACTCTCGTGGCAGGTTCCGGTACCAGTCTACCAGGCCACAACATCAAACACCTCACCCTTACAACGCAGGCTCCTCAGTGGGGAAGAGACAGTGGGGACACATGGACTGCCATGAACAGATGCAAAAACGCTACCCATGTCTTCTTCTCATCACGCCACCGTCTGAGGAAGTGGGGGCAGGGTCGAGTGACCAGCACTACCCCCAACAGCGCTAGTGCTACACCTGCATCATTCATCCTAAATGGGTGGACAGAAGTGATTTTTTTTATTTTAAAGAACAAAGGACTCGAGGCATTAGTTTTGCATTGTGTGAAAGGCACAGAATGGACAGCAGAGCTGACAGTTGCATCACTTCTCCATCTAGGTGAGACATGAAGACTGAGGTCGGCTGTGTTGCATTATACTCTTGTGTTGCTGTGAATGCATGGGACAATCCTTAGATTGTTATGCAGCTGTATCTCTTATGTTTGTGTATATACTGATTGCAAATGTTTTGTGTTGCTGCCTGCTATGTAATGTTTAAATCCTCCTAATGTGCAACTTCAATTCTTTATCTTAAGTGAATAAATAAAATACTGATCCAGTGCTCCACTTGTAGTAAAGTGACACATGTAGTGATGTGCAACAACAATCGGGTTTTAATTACACTTGACCATTTAAATTACCAAGGCAACTTGTAAACAAAGGATTAGGGGTGTTATATACAGTGGAAGCTCAGCAGAAGGAGTGAAGGGGATGTCAGCCAGTTTGTACCATCATTCCAGACACAATGCCATCAAAGGTCCTGGAGAATGAATAGAAAACAGTTACTGTTCAAAAAATGAAAAATCTTCAGATAATACTTGACATTAACAGATCTCAGAATAAACCCACTTTGACTGAATTGGGTCACCAGGATTGTGGAATGGGTTGCACATTACGTCAGTAAAAGAGTTGTGCAATTTTCTGAACATCTGGAAAAGAGCAAACAAAAGTTGTATTGAATTAAAACAAAATAAGCTAATGCCCAGTGTTCCTTTGAGAAGTGTTAAGTGCTTTGTCAGTTTAGTAATAAAGTGCGCTTGCAGATGCTCATCCTAAATCCAGCACTCCTTACTTTGACATGTTTATGGTAAGGACATTGCATGGTCACTTCAACCATGTGGCTGTAGTGAGCAATGTAGAAAAGTGCTTAGCCCATGAAAACAGCCATTTACAACAATATATTAGTGTAGCTTTCCTCATCTATAGGTTAATATCTGAAGCATACAGAGAACTAGAGCATTTAATACTTGTACACATTGTATAATCACAAATGTCCTGACAAAGAACCAAAATTGTGCTATGTACCCAACATTACAAATTTTGCATTTTGAGGATTCAATTTACTGGGCTGGGCCTGAACACATTTAAGCATATGAATGGCTTTACTTACACTTCTTATTTCATTGTCCCTTAATGATGTATTTGATGAATCAACGACAATGACAAATTTCACCTTGGAGTTGGTTACATACCCATATCTATTTTACTAGTCAAGGTTATTTGAATTTCTCCTTAAGGAACCATTCGTGGCAAAGGATTTTGCCACCTTAAACAGTTGAGGGGTATAAATTGGAATGCCCTATGATAATACACAAGTTGGTTTCAGTTCAAATTTAAGTGATGGGTCATCTTAATGAATTAAAGACCTAGCATAAAAGACAAAGTATCATGCTGTAGGAAATAATCTGGCAAACCGAAATGAAATGTTTGTGACTAATCTCTGAAGCAACAGTAAATGATGTATTAACCATTAATAAAGTCATTAATTACAACATATAAACTTTATAAATGCCTTGTCAAAAAGTGGCCAGTACTTGTAAATCAAGCACTGGGCTCACTTGCTTCGTAGATTGTCTGAACCTTTATCCTTGCATAATAAAAAAATAACTATACGAAATAAAGGATACACTTTGTAGTCTTCAGTGGGATAGAGCAGACCAAGGTAAAGCTCTCTCTGGTCTCCCAAGGATTTACCCACTGCTGAGATCTTCTCCTCCACCACGTCCAGAGACGTGTGCACTGTGTAGTGAAACTTCAGCTCATTTTGAGTTGGCACACTGCGAATATACAGCGGGTAGTTCTGGAAAAGCACGTGATGTTGTGCATTAAAAATACCACATTTAAACCACTTGTACACATTTTCAGCATAAATGCAGCAAACTATTACAGCGGCTCCCTTCAAAAAACGCTAATGTTGTTAGATCTCAAACATTTGTTAGCTCTGTTGGGGCATTTCAGCCCGTTGAACTTTCTGGCATATAGATAAAGGTTTTAAGATTTGTTGGAATACGGAAACTTTTAACAATAACAAACAGGCTTAAAATAAAACGTATAACAACAACACCAGCTACCTGTTTAGCGATCACTGCTATGCACACCGCCATATTAGCTTTCCTCCTCTCTGTCAGACAGTGTCACATGACACTTTACATCGTTCTTCCTCTTCCTCTTCCTCTTCTTTCGGCCAATTTATACATTATAGCCTACATGTTGTGTTATTCGTGTTGGCTGACCTATTCATATTGGGGGTTTGAAATGTCATTGATTTAAAGTATTTAATTAAGTATGGTCATTATTTTGATTCTTTGCGACCGATGTCAAATGTTACAAACGCATACAACATTTGAGAGAAGTCCCTGAATGCACCGAATTTCAAGAACTAATTTTACGGTTGCTTACAATTTGACAATTTAATTCCAGTATTGGCCAGTGAACAAAATGAAACTTAATCGAGCTAAACAAATACATTCTAAATCTAAATTAATTCAATAAAATGCCATGAAAGCTACTGCGCAATATGCGCAAATGTTGCGCTGAAGACTCGCATGAAGGCAAACAACATTTCCTCGAATGTGATGCTATTGCGCATATGACTACAGCACAGCAAAGCGAACGATGTCAACTTTAACTCTGACGCTCCTTAGTACAATAATATGTTGCTCTTTGACAGAACAGCCATCAAATGTTTCATCTCCAAACATTATCATCATGCTCATGGATGACGTAAGTTTTCTTATTTTTTTGTGCGTTTTCTTGTGACTAGTTCGTCACATCATCAGTAAAGTTCTTTGACTCAGCATTGAATGAATGCCATGTGTTTGTGTTTGGTCTTTCTTTGTAACGTTATTCTTTTTCTGTCTGCCTGCCTTTTCTGTTGGTTTGTGTTTGCATTGTGTTTCTGTACTTCTGGTTAGTCAAGTATGAACTCTGTAATAAAGACACAAAATACAAACACACACATATGGAGTCCATGCACACTAAATTAGAGTGACTAAAAAGAGTATTTTTAACAATTAAATTAAACCTAACCTAATTAAAATTAAGACTACTTCTCTTATAGTAGTAATAGCACAATCAAATGTGGACTATTAAATATCAGATCTCTCTCATCTAAATCTCTGTTAGTGAATGATTTGATAAGTGAACATCACATTGACTTAATTGTGTCTTACTGAAACATGTTCTTACAGCAGGAAGAATATGTCAGCCTAAATGAATCCACTCCACCTAGTCACAGTAACTGTCACATCCCTTGAAACACAGGCCGAAGTGGTGGTGTAGCAGCAATCTTTGACTCAAGCCTATTAATCAACCCTAGACCTAAACATAGTTATAACTCATTTGAAAGTCTCACCCTGAGTCTCTCACACCCAAACTGGAAAACTCAAAAGCCTGTTCTGTTTGTTATTGTATACCGTCCACCTGCTCCTTATTCAGAGTTTTTAAGTGAATTCTCAGACTTTCTGTCTGATTTAGTGCTTAGTACAGATAAAATAATCATAGTAGGCGACTTTAATATTCATGTAGATGCCGACAATGACAGCCTCAACAATGCATTCTGTTCATTATTAGACTCAGTTGGCTTCTCTCAAACTAAATAAACCCACTCACTGTTTTAATCACACTCTTGATCTGTAATACATTTGATACCATTGCCCCTCTGAAAAAGAAGGTAGTGAAACAGAGGAGGTTAGCGCCGTGGTACAGCTCGCAGCTCCGCTCCCTAAAGCAGGCATCACGAAAACTGGAAAGGAGGTGGCGCTCCACTAAGTCAGAAGAGTTTTTCATAGTCTGGAAAGATAGTTTAATAACATATAAGAAAGCCCTTCGTAGTGCCAGAACCGCATTTTATTCATCACTGATTGAGGAAAATAAGAACAACCCCAGGTTTCTTTTCAGCACTGTAGCCAGGCTGACAAAGAGCCACAGTGCTGTTGAGCTTAACATTCCCTTAGATCTCAGCAGCAATGACTTCATGAGCTTCTTTACAAATAAAATCACAACTATTAGAGAAAAAATTGGTCGGACCACTCCCACAGCTCTCGCAGATGTGCCATCTACTACAATGGCTTTAGAAACATCTGTAAGACCTCATTTATACTTGGACTACTTCTCCCCTATAGATCTCTCTGAGTTGACCTCAACAATTGCTTCATCTAAATCATCAACATGTCTCCTGGACCCCATCCCGACCAGGCTGCTCCAAGACGTCTTTCCCCTAATCAACACATCCATACTAGATCTGATTAACCTCTCTCTATTAACAGGTTATGTTCCACAGGCTTTTAAACTTGCAGTAATTAAACCTCTACTCAAAAAGCCTACTCTTGACCCAGGTGTCCTAGCTAATTATAGACCAATATCCACTCTCCCATTTATTTCCAAAATCCTTGAAAAAGCTGTTGCAAAGCAGTTATGTGACCACTTGCACAAGAATGATTTGTTTGAGGATTTTCAGTCAGGATTTAGAGTTCATCATAGTACAGAAACCGCATTGGTGAAAGTCACCAATGATCTTCTCCTAGCCTCGGACACAGGACTTGTCTCCATACTTGTCCTCTTAGATCTCAGTGCTGCTTTTGACACCATTGATCACAGCATCTTACTGCAGAGACTTGAACATGTTATTGGGATTAAAAGAACTGCGCTACGTTGGTTCAAATCTTATTTATCAGAAAGATTTCAATTTGTTCATGTTAATGACGAATGTTCCACACAAACTGAAGTTAGTCACGGCGTTCCACAGGGCTCTGTGTTAGGTCCAATTCTCTTCACTTTATACATGCTCCCTTTAGACAATATTATCAGGAAGCACAACATAAATTTCCATTGCTATACAGATGATACTCAATTATATTTGTCTGTGAAGCCAAATGAATCAGATCAGCTGGTCAAACTTCAAGCATGTCTTAAAGCCATAAGGGCCTGGATGACCTGTGATTTCTTACTTCTAAACTCTGACAAAACTGAAGTCATTGTGCTTGGGCCTGAAAACCTTAGAAATCTGCTATCTAATCATATAGTTACTTTAGATAACATAGCTCTTGCCTCCAGTACTACTGTGAGGAACCTTGGAGTCATTTTTGATCAGGATATGTCCTTTAAATCACACATAAACCAAGTCTCTAGAACTGCCTTCTTTCACCTGCGCAGTATTGCGAAAATCAGGAGCATCCTGTCTCAAAGTGATCCTGAAAAAGTGGTCCATGCATTTGTTACTTCCAGGCTGGGCTATTGTAACTCTTTACTATCAGGATGTCCAAGTAAGTCCCTAAAAGCCTCCAGTTAATCCAAAATGCTGCAGCCAGAGTACTGGCCACCAAGTTGTATTATGTGTGCTGTAGAGTAAAGGAAAGATAAAATTTTCACACGTCCCTACAATCTATGTGCAAAACGTGATCTTCTGCCATGTTAATCAACTCACTTCTGCTCCTCAGATGGGCTGGGGGGACCTAGGTGTCTTGGGACAGCCCTCCAAAGAGACCCCCAACCTGGATACCATGGCTGCTCAGGGCATGCTGCTGCCAAACTTCTACACTGCCAACCCCCTCTGTTCCCCATGTGAGTCAGCTGAAAATGTTGCAAAACACAGCCTGAAACAGCAGTTTTTATACATCAAGATATAGTCATTGCTATGCAGTCTCTCTGTGAGTCAACCTCATTTAACGGTTGAAAGAACACCTCAATAATGATTTAAATGTATAAACTATTGTATAATGCATACATGTAACCAAATACAGGGTTAAGTGGACACATTATTTGTTATCTCTGGTGTTTTTGAAGTATTTTTGTGATATTAAAAAAGAATTTAGAAGACAAACACAGAAAACCTAATGACTCTTTTCTAATGGCCTTTTTTTTCTGTCATTTTAACCACAGCTAGAGCTGCGCTTCTCACTGGGAGGCTGCCTGTCAGAAATGGTTTCTACACCACTAATGCTCACGCTAGAAATGGTACATTTTCAGACATTCCAGCTGCAAATAATGTCAGGTTTCTTATTACTCAGTGTATAATGTATAGTGTGTAATAAATTCATGTAACCAAAATTGTTTAACTTTTGTTATAGCATACACACCTCAGGAGATAGTGGGAGGAATCTCTAAGGAAGAGATTTTATTACCCCAGATGCTGAAGAAAAAGGGCTATGTCAGCAAGATAGTTGGCAAGTGGTGAGCTCTTAATCATTTTCTTGAATTCATGTTTTTAGAGGTTTCTGAAGTTTCAGAGGTTATTAAAGGTGACATGATGTTCACAGTATTAGGTTACATACCTGTTTTGAACAGGTTTCAAGCAACTTCAAGTGTATTTAAATAGTGTACTGAGGTGAATGGAAAATTATCACCTAGAAGTAGTTTACTCCAACCAGGAATCAAAATAAGTATATTGTGCTTCTGAAAATGGTGTGAAGAAGATCACATACTGTATATGTGATTTCCAGTAATGGTCTAAATGAAACATGCAAAACATGTAGTATGATCATTCAGTCATGGTGATCTTACAGTGGTTTGTCACTACAGGCATCTGGGCCACAGATCACAGTACCTTCCTCTGGAGAATGGTTTTGATGAATGGTTTGGCTCTCCAAACTGCCACTTTGGCCCCTACAACAACAGCATCACGCCCAACATCCCTGTCTACAACAACTCCGAGATGATTGGCAGGTTGTATCGCACACAAGCACTCAAGTATACATAACAGCAGACACAAAAGCAGGGGCTGGAAATCTTTTTTTTTTTTTTAAATCTTATTTCCCCATGACTCAGTGGAATAGTTTGACTGGCTGCTCTTCAGGATGAGTTGAGTGTCTCTCCTCCTCTTCCTTCTCTGTGCCAGCTGTGCTTGTATATTACATTTTCCGCCCATTTATTTTCCCCAAAACAGCCATATGTGTATTCAGGGTCACTGGAACTGGCAGCCGGGCGTGTTTTTCGCTTAGCCGTGGGTTTAATCAGTGCTGCATACTTGTGCTCTGGACGAACATACACACCCACATAGACACGTATAAAAACAGACACACGCCCTCAAGAGACAGCAGGTTGCGTTGGCTGTATGCGAGGACACCTGGAGGAAGTGAAGCGTAAGGAAGAGATATGCCTGTCACTGCTTCTCTGCTTGCCGCGCCATGCTTCAGCAACACCGCGTAACAGTTCCCTCTGCTCAGCTCTGCTGAGACTTCCCAAATATGTCTTTCACCAAAATCTCTGGCAAACATGGTCCACAAGAGGGAGATTTGCTTTCATTGTCTTAATGATAGTGTCTGCAATACTTTCAGTCACTTTGGAGGCAGATCAAAAGCTCTGACAGTTCCATCAAGTCATTGTTAAAGAATCATTTTATGTGGCTGAACAAGCAGAGGAGAAATGGCATGGTGTGGCTTCAGTAGGGATTCAGATGAAGGTTTATTTAATAAATCATGTCATCTCACTTTTTTTCCAGATACTATGAGGATTTTAAGATTGACCGGAAGACCGGAGAATCCAACCTCACACAGATATACTTGGAGGTAGTTTAAGGCTCACCTTTCCTTTTTAAGACTGTGTCTGTCTCCTGTAGTAGCATCCTTTCAGTGGAGCACATTATATCAGTACACTCAGTTTTGTTTTCTAGTAAAGTGATTCATAAAACAAAATAATATAGAATAGACTTTATTGCCTGCCACAGTGGAAAATTGTGTTTGGCTCACCAAAACACAAAAGCACAAAAACAAAGATCATCTATTTAACAAATTAAAGTCACCAATTAAAGCCTAATGTTAGCCCATGATCAGTACTGTGCTTTTGAAACCATTTGAGAGAGGCGTTGATTCAACTGGATGATCATTTTAGAGGCTGTAATTATTGGTGCTGTTGAATTGCATGGCATTATGCAGAAAGATATTTCTGTTATTTAGCCTGCTGGTCTCACTGATATAAATGGGGTGAACAAAATAATAGAAACACTTGTTAGTATTATTGTATGTAGTATTCAACAGCATCGCTAGATCTTCCAAAATAATTGGAATCAACACCCCTGTAAAATGGTTTCAACCAGAAACCGAACACTGTCACCTTCATGGAGGGAGGATTTTTTTCAGGACTATTGTATTAGATGGAATTTTAGCTAATAAACTGACAGCTGCATTTCTGTCAAATATTATAAGGTATGCATAATTAAATGATCTGTGCTCATTAATACATTTGCTGCTCCGCTAATGTGAGTCTGTTGGTGATGGGCTATGAAGTGTTCACACAGTCCTCCACACTTGTCTTTCAGAGCTCATTATCAAGTCTTTTACACATGCCTAAATGAAGATAAACTAACATTGCATTCATAGATGTAACTCTTGTATGTGTGCGTTGTCCATGTGCTATGCAGGCTTGGCGGTTGATTTCTGCTGTTGTTTCTTCCGTCAACATTATTACAAAAATCGATTGTTTGTACTGTATTTTTGAATTGATTTAGAATTGTAGAAGATAGGAATTGTGATTCTGATGTCAATAGATTTTTTTTTCTCCCACCCCTAATATTTAAGCAAATAATAGAAAAAATAGATAAAAAAACAGCTTTGATTACAAGAAGTCAAATTGCTCATACCTGGGTGCTTTACTCAAGCACAGTTAAAGCCCTCCCCTTTTGCAGTGCTCAGGTTCTTTGTCCAAACCAGGGAGTGCCACCAGGTAAGAACAATAAAAGAGAACCATGACTTGCAAGTTGCAACCACATTTCCCTAACGGACAGAAGCAAATCTATTTCTGCAGGATAAGGCTTGAGATCCGTGTTTAGTGATAGAAACAAGCAGACGATACATTTCAGGAAACTGATTGTTGTTAAAATCCAGACAAGTCAGGTGTGTGCACCTACCCAGCCCATCTATCACAATCTCTAATTACACCCTGCTGTTCTGTTCTACTTCATGTAGGTAGATTTACTAAAACTAATGACATTTAATACAACAGCCATGCACCAAGTTCACTGTAATGTTGTTTTTGTTGAAATTGTTGGGTGTTTCTAATATTAAGTCTACCTTCCATAATTGAATGGAAAAAAGTTTCCTCTCGGTACATCATTTCAACAGCACTGCAAATCCAAGCCCTAAAATGATCATAAAGTTGAATTAACACCTTGAGTCATGCTAATATACTGACAACTGGGTGTACCACCTACTCAAAACATAGTAAGAATTAGCATGTGATATGCAAATGATGAGGTTATAGACTTTATGCAGCTTGACAGCAGTACTATGAGGGTGCCTACAGTACGTTTTTTTTAACACCAGTGCTGACAGTGTTGTGACAGTCTCTCATGCCTCCCACCTCTACAGGAAGGTCTTGACTTCATACTTCGTCAGACTAAGGCCCGAAGGCCATTCTTTCTCTACTGGGCAGCCGATGCCACTCACGCCCCCGTCTATGCCTCCGAACGCTTCCTAGGGAAGAGCCAGAGAGGACGGTACATTATATCCTTACTGACTCTTTTAATAGCACACAGCCTAGCAGATGCTTGGGTTATAAATGAAGGTGTTTCTCATGGTGACTGATTTGAGCTGTGATTGGCTGTGTGTTGTAGGTATGGAGATGCAGTGATGGAACTGGACTACAGCGTTGGTCAGATCTTGTCATTGCTGCGGACTCTGGGCATTGAAAATAATACCTTTGTCTTCTTCACTTCAGACAATGGAGCTGCTCTGGTATCGGCCCCGTATGAAGGTAGATTTTACATATCACACTTACCCTAACACTTAACCATCATAACTAAATTCCCAACCCTAACCTCAACCTGATTTTAACCATAATGCTAAAGCCAAGTTTTAACCTTCAAACAGCCCCAGAATGCCCCCACTTCATCTCACAATGTCTAGCCATACAAATACACTTCATCATTTTTGCCAGGGTTTTTTTCTGTCGTGTGTGTGTGATTTGATATTTGTGCTTCTGATTCCTCAGGTGGCAGTAATGGGCCATTCCTCTGTGGGAAGGAGACCACCTTTGAAGGGGGCATGAGGGAGCCTGCCATTGCCTGGTGGCCTGGACACATCAAAGAAGGCACAGTAAGAATTCCTCGGGGATCTAAAGCTTTTACCAAATAAAGCCTCCAAACAATCATTCACTAAATCCCCAGCATCTTCTCTAGAGATCAGACTAGTCTTAGACCTGGGATCCAGAGCCTTTTTTTTTTAAAGCACTGTTGCTCCCTAATGTTGCACCTGTCAACAGGTACCAGGAACTTTGTAATACTGTGAATCAATTTGAGAGTACAGGAATCATCATTTCACTAATCCTCTCTTTTAAATACTTGTTGCTTTTAGTTTTATTTGTGTATCATTTACCACTTTATGAGCATGCATGCTGACCCTTGCACAATAACCAGTTAATCTTAACTATGTTCAACATCTGTGAAATGATTGAACTCCAGAAACGGTAAAGATAAACTGTGTGATTTTGGCCACTAAGTGTGTGGGAGATTTTTCCACTGTTTCATCAAATATTTTTGGCTGGAATTAATGTCCCAACTATCTCTCTTTTCCCTTCTCCCTCCTCAATTTAAGCCCCCCACCCACACTGTGATCCCCTAAGTCTGTGCGTTCTGCAAATGACTTTTAATTGTATTAGGGGCAGCTGTGACACAGGGCTGTGACGCAGAGGGATTTGGCAGAGGAGTGAGCAGAGGCTGCTGTCTGCAGTAAGCCTTGCCCCTGGCTCATCTCACAGGGGTGTGCTGGGGCCTGATAGCACAGCAGAGTAGTGAGGGAGATGGGGATTGGGAACGTCTTAAGCGGCTAATCTGTTTGTGTGTTTGCTGAGGTTGGATTGAGCCGTAATGAGGACTTCAGTATCTGAATATGCCAGGCGTTCAGGATAAAGGAACGGGAGGGGCGGAGAGGGGGCTCAGGGCAGGTGTAGAAAAAGAAGAGGAGGAGGAATGCTAAAGAAGCTGGCACTGCCACACTGCCAGGAACGTAGTTGAGTTCGCAAGGCTTTCCTGCACCTGTGCAACATTATAACTGACCAGTGTGTTTGTCTATACATGTACAAGTATACAGAACATGTCTAATTTTTGTTTGCTCCTACATGCTTAAATATACAGGTTATGCATACTTTTGTATATATTAAATGCTGGATTAGTCGTATGTGTGACAGATAACTTTCTAGATGAGTGGAAGAGACAGATGCACCAGTGCAGGACATCGTACAGCACCTGTGTGTGTTAGAATTTGCAGTTGTGCCTTGGCTGTGAGAATGATGGTGTGTAGATCCTCCCTGAAGATCTCAGAGGTTATGATGACAGAGCTGCTTTGTTGGAGCTACTGTACTTTACAGCTGTGGATTTATCACTCTGTGCTGCTGAGGAGAGGACAGACCAGACACAGGGTTGGCCCATCTCTTATTATGTAGTCTTATGAAATCGTTGTTGAGCTGAGCATTGAAAAGTCCTTAGGCTATTAGGGCAAAATAGTGGAGACATTGAACAGCAATTCAAGCCTTTTTTTTTAAACAGGTTTTTTTGTGCCGACTGAGCACTGTGTGTGTACGATATTACGATGAGGAGATGAGCATTTTGGGTGACAGAAAGACCACTGTGCATTTCCTTCCATCTTAGACAGCACTCCCTTTATCTGTGGATGCATCTGAGTAATACAATTAATTTAAGTGAATAGTGTGAATATGCAAGTAGTTAATTAATTAGCTATTCACTCATGTTTAAAGGAAAGGAAAGAGGTGTATAGGAATTAAGGAGCTCTGTTGGTCTGAAACAGGTGCAGACTCAGCATTCTGCTAGTGCCGGAGAGGGGCGAGGGGCCGTGATAATTAGGGCTGGTGGCTATATGAACAAAGATGTGGAGGTGGGTGGGGTGCTGGCCCCACAGTACTGTTGAACATCACAATCCCTTTTGTTGCGCTTTATCGGGCAGAGGGAAATAGACAGGGATAGAAGCACTGCCTCCTCAGATAACCGACATCACCACTCACGGCACAGGCAAAATTTAGAGAAAGAGAAGGAAAGAGAATGTGACATTAATAAAGAGTGATGAGCTGATGATGGAGCTGTGTAGACTGCAAAAGAGGGCAGAGCTAATAAAGGAAGAAAAAACAATGGCAACTCATGAGATAGTTTGAAGGCTTTGAGATTTGGGTGTGCAAGTTATTACCAACTAAATGTCAGCTGTGCTTCTTCTTGTGTCCTTTTGTCCTGTCTTTTTAAATGGTTTGTTTGTTTGCGTGAGGGGAACTTAAAAAATTGAAGTAAAGGACTAAATCTGTTAGTGTTTGTGTATGTGTGTGAAAAAGAGTGTCTGGATGAGCAGATAGATCCTGGAATGCATTGCAGAGCCTTTTCTGTGGATACAGAAGAACAGGGAATTCATTTCAGTGCTTAGGAGTTTGTGTGTGTCTGTGTCTGTGTCTGCGTCTGTGTCTGCATGTGTGCTGGCTGCCGATAGGAGCACAGCGGCACATGGCGGTGCAGCTGCAGAGGCCTGATAGCGCTATCTGATTGTAAGCGCACCGTCTCCCTCTAAGGCTCGCTCAGGAGAGAATGGAACGGAAGATCAAGGATGACAGCGAAAAAATGGCATTTTATCTGAAAATAGTTCAAAGTTTATAAATAAAATAAAGCTTTTCACTGGGGCTGGAAGAAGGAGATAAAACACCAGCTCCCTCCAGCCCCAGCCGCCTGCTTGCCCGGGCCTTGTCCTCTTCCTACTTCCTCTTCTTTTTTTTTGCTCATTCTTTTTCTTTTTTCCCCCAAAAAACTCATTTACAAAGACAGCATTTTGGAGGCTTTATAATAAATCTGCAAGCAGAGATTAGAGAGGAGACTGAAGAAATACACCTCATTTCTACGTGCGTACACACAGCGACACATGCAAACATCCTGCCGTGACCATGCATTGTTACCTTGGTTGTGTTCATTATGAAATTCCAGCATAAAATAGCTTGTGGTTTTACTGGAGCATAAAACAGTTCTTAATTTGTCACTGTGATTTTCTGTTTGTGTATATAGCAAGGTGGTTTTTTAATTTATTTTTGCAGGTGAGCTACCAATTGGCCAATGTCATGGACCTGTTCACCACCAGTTTGGCTCTAGCCGGCATTAGCCCCCCTGATGATAGAGCCATGGATGGACTGGACCTGACACCAGTTTTCACTCCAAAACAGGTGTGTACATACACGAGCTGTTACAGGATGTTACTAGTGGACTAGAGCTGAGTTGGGAGAGCATTACTGGTTTTGAAAAGAAGTAAACAAAGCCATGCTAGCAATGTGATTCTAGGTCAGTCAGTCCACCACTTTGGTTCAAACTGAAGTATCTCAACAGGTTTTAACATCTTGAATTACAGTGCAGTTTTGTACAGATTTTGTTGTAAACTTTGGTGACTTGACTTTTCTTTAGGTCAAAAGTTTTTGTCCTACAGTATACTTATCCTACATACCAAATATCTGCAAAATTAATGATGTTCTCGTCAATGTCAGCTGCTAAGATTAATTATAATCAATAGTAATTATTAGCAGATGCTAAGCATTGAGACAGTGAACATGGTAAACATTAAATCTTATTGTGAGCATGGTGACATTAGCTTTTAGCTCAAACCTCTGCTTTGTCCAAGTACAGCCTCACGGTGGATTTTAAGTGTAAGCATTTGTCCAGTTTCTCACAAATACAGCTGGGAAACAAAGATCTGAGCATTATTTCTCTATCCTCTCGACCTCAACAGGCCAATCTTCTATTACCGTGGGAATGAGCTGATGGCTGTGAGGCTTGGACAATACAAGGCTCATTACTGGACCTGGAGCAACTCATGGGAGGAGCTGGAAATGGTAAGACTCCCTTCTAACACAGCAACTCTCTCATCTCTGTTTCCTCAGTTCTTGATTTGCACATCTACGTCCTCCCTCTTTGTCTCTCCTAATCTAACTCAAACACACAAACACTTTCACTGTTGGTGTTATCTAGAAAACGGCTCATCAGTTGACTGCTGTGTACATCAGAGCGTAATGAATATTAATGAAGAGCCCCCACATCAGCGAACTTACATCATTCATCAACAAGCTGACTTGTTTGTTCTAACTCCAGTGGAGATTTTCTTCCTCTCCATTTACCATCAGTCCCTGTTGTAGACCTGTTCTTTTGGCATCACAGAGCTGAAAAAGAAGAAAGCCAGATACCAGCAGTATCTCTCTGCCATAATTACATAAACTCGGCGCTGATTAAATGTGAAATCTGACATTTGAGAAACAGAGTAGTGTAGTCATTCTTTCTCTTCTATGTCCAAAACAGTCTTCTTGTCCTCCCTCCATGCCTTTGCTTTTCCTGTGATCCAGTTTGTTTTATGCCCCATCGGTCGCTTAAATTGCTCTCTCCTTCAGGGCCGCTGAATCAATAGCAGCCTTCTTTATCAACCCATGTGAACTGAAGTGGAACTTCACAAATAATGGCATCTGATTGCTTGTGAGTTGCCTATCGATTGGTGTGTGTCCATGAAAGAGAGAGAAAGGACGAGGGAAAACCTGCACATGTTAAATCCCCAGTGTGCTTCATATTGTTATTGTTGAATCCTTAAACTGGAAACCCACAATATATTTCATCAGCATGAAACATGAAAACAGTTTATATACTCACAGACTTTGGATCAAGTGTTTTGTAAATCGGCTTTAGAAGAAAAATGTTCTAAGGTCATTGTTTGCCTTTTTTGGTAAGAGTACACTGGATTAATGATCATTCCTACTCTTTTATCCACCTATAAAATTATGTTGATCCTAAAATCCGCACACAGATTATAGTTTAACCTGCCTTTAAAAAGAAATATACAATCAAACTCATTTTACTTCAGTAAAACATGTTTTCCTGCTTGCTCCTCAGCTTTGCTACAGTAATATTTCTTGCCCGTGGTGAAAAATAAACAAGGGAAGGTGTCTCTGTGAAAAGAATGAAATTACAGGTTAAAGGGTGTGAAATGCATTGCTCTGTCCTGGCTGTGGTCATGCAGCTCAGCCATGAGGAAAATGAGAAATTCCATGGGCTCTCTAACACATTCTGAAGAGGTTGTAGTGATGTTAATACTATGAAATGTAGTTTATCATGAATGTGGCTCCTTTGGATCTGAGTTGCTGAATAAGCTATGCTGATGTAAGAGCACTGTTCCAGCTGTAAGGCTCGATGATGAATGAAAAATGAAAATGACTTGTTTCCTGGGCATCTGTTAAGCTCTTATAAGACCAATCAACATTTAGCAAGTGGCCCGCAGTAGTGGCAGAAGCAGTAAGTAATGTGACCTCTGTGACTGATAGAGTATTATGTATGACAATTTTAGATTGTGAGTACTGGTGCATCCATTTTAATGTTGTAGCTGGTTGAGGTGGGGCAAGTTTATCTACTTTACATACAGTTACAGTAGCTAATGGCGTCTAGTGGGGTGTGCTCCTCCACGGAGTAACAAGAAAAACCATGAGATGATTAATGGGGAAAGAGAAGAAAAAGGGTTCTGTTACACAAGTGTAATTTCTGAGACGTTTCTTTTACATTTGTTTTTGGTGAAATACTGAATAATGTTGCCTCTTTTAGCATCATGTCTCTGCTAACAGCTCAGACATGTGAAACGTGACAGGGGTCCCAAGCAGAGACCGCTGTTTGTGGAGGGGGTCACAAGGTTGGGAATTACAGGTTTAATCATAAACCTGCATTTAGTTTTTTTAATGAAAAATCTAAACCTAATGGGCGCTACAGATGTTATACAGTGCCTTGCGAAAGTATTCGGCCCCCTTGAACTTTGCGACCTTTTGCCACATTTCAGGCTTCAAACATAAAGATATAAAACTGTAATTTTTTGTGAAGAATCAACAACAAGTGGGACACAATCATGAAGTAGAACGAAATTTATTGGATATTTCAAACTTTTTTAACAAATAAAAAAACTGAAAAATTGGGCGTGCAAAATTATTCAGCCCC